CCCCGCCAGTCGTCCATCACACCCAAGAATCCCCTCCCACCATCTCTCTTCTCTTCCTTCTCCCGGCTACGCTCTCCAGCCTCCTCCCAGCTGCCTGCCTGTCCACTCCTGCAACCCCTCTCCCTCTCGGGCACCCTTCCCACTCCGCCAGCCCCGGCCTGGCCCCCGCGCCATGGCTGCACACCCGGTCCAGACACATGCCTTGGGCCTCCCCCGAGCCCTCTGCTCAGGGACCAGGTCACAGGGGAAGGGGGCTCCAGGGGAGGAAGGCTGAGGGGTCAGAAGGAGGGGTTAGGGGAGAAGAGGGAGGGGTCTTTCCAAAAAACAACCCTCTGAAAACAAGGAGGAGAAAACCAGGGGCGAGTCTCTGAGCACCACGGTGACCATGGTGTCTCCGAGTGGAGAGGTTCACAGTAAGCACACATGCAGACAAAGTACAGGGACACGCCAGGGGATAGGCCGACACCATGTCTCTGGCACCGGCAGCGTGGGGCGAGGGTGGAGGACACACACACACTTGCAGGGGTGCCCTCCTGGAGAAGCCCCACACCAGGCTATTCTGCAGGAAGTCGGCCGAAAAGCCTAGCTCCCCGCCAGGGAGACGCTGGGTGGCTCAGGGAGAGAAACACCAAAGGAGGCCTCCACACTCTGCGGAGTGGGACCCAGCCAGCTGCAGCGGAGAAGAGAGGCAAGACCTCCCCCCTCGGGGTCCCTCACCAAACCGCCCCCCCGAAAAAGAGCTGGAAAAAAGCTCAAAGGCTCAAACCCCTAACCTGCCCCTCCTATGCAGAAACCTGGTTCCGGGCCCAATCCTGTAAAACCCCGAGCGTACTAAGGACCAGGCTCCCCCAGGCCTGGTGTCCCCACATGCATTGTCTGTCTGCTCATGCTCTGCAAGGGATTCGGGCCAGGTGGCCTCTGCGTCCTCTGGGGCACAGAATGCTGGGGGGCAGACCCTGCTCTAGAGTCATGGCGGTCGCCCGGCAGGGGCCCGCTTGGCACGAAGGACCCACGTTACTCTCATGCCTTTCCCGTGCATTGAGGGAGGGTGTGCTGAGATCTGGAGCCTGGCTTCCCACCCCACTGACCGCCCCAGGAAACCGCTCCCCGGAGACATGGGCTGAATGCCAGGGACCAGGCCTGACTGAGGAGGCCAGGTAAATGGGACAATGGGGCCACACCTGACAGGTACATGACCCTGCCTTTGAGGAGGTGGAATCGGGACTGACCACAGGCCCAGGGAACGGAGCCGGGCTGCGGGGGCAGACGGAACCAGCTGCACTCCCAGGTCACAGGGGGGAAGAAACTGCCTGGCTCTGTCCTGCCCCTGAAGGCAGTTCTCCCTCCCGCTGCACTGGGGTCCTGAGGAACATCTGTCCCAGTGGCCAGGGAACTCTTCAGAGAACCGGCCTGGAGCACAGGGCAGGGTAGGGGCGCCTCTTGCTGCAGCTGGGATGCCTGTGCTTTGCTGTTTCCCCCCGGAGCCGATGAATCTGACACCCCGGAGGAAGAGGAGGGAGCGGTTC